CTCCTGCGCGGGCATAGCTCCTGCGCGGGCATAGCTCCTGCGCGGGCGTTTCTCAGGCGCTGACCTTACTAACTCGGAAGCGGAAGCGTGACTGCCCGTGTGCTGCCTACGTGGATCCCGTGTGGCACAGGATGGAGTGCTGGCTGGTCCCACTTGAGTCTCTCTCCACATTGCCCCTTTCCCGACATGTAAGAAAAGCCTTCTCTGTGCTCGAACCCTGGTTGGCTTGTGTGTCTCCTAGTGTTTCCTCAGCTCTCTTAATATTGGAGAACCGAGAGAGCAGATACAGGCACATCCCTGCTGCTTGTCTCATTGCTGGGCAGTGTCTCCTGGGGGTTGGTATTCGCAGCCCTTTCTTAAGACAGTGCTGGCTCTGTAAAATGTAAAACAAGCTGTCTATGGTGTGGGCTGTGGAACCTCCTTTAATGATGATGTAAATTGCCGCCCTAAACAAGGAATTCGGTGACTGTCTTCATACATTGTTTGATAGGACCAGCACGGCATATTTTTCTGAATTTTGCTGAGGTAAACCTGTCGCACCCTCGCTAGATTGAGGGCTACTTGAGCCTCTCAGGTGGGTGTCTTGGGCTCTATTTGATGCTTCATTGCCGAGTTCACCAATGACATCCATTAGTAGCGTTAATCACTTGCTGATGTCATTCCCGTGCCTAGCATGGAGGAGCCTCAGGTGCTCTATTGTATACTAAAAACACTGAAGGTTCTTTTCCAAAAGCAAGAACTAATGGAAGTTTTTCTTTCACTACCCCCATTTGGTACCTTCTCTCCTCAAGAGAAGTGGCGTTTTGAAATTTACTCAGTGGATCAGCGGTGTTCCACAGGTTCTCGGGCGGCCCTCTTCCTCTCTCACTAGTGTGCTTGAGTCTGCTTTCATTCCCCGTCAGCCATTTAGCTCTGTGTCTTCACTCGCCTCTTTCACTGTCTTACCCAACTGTGGAGTTTACAGCTTTCCTCAGTGGAGATTTCCTCAGTAGTGTCCTTCTTAAGAAGGAAGTGGATGCAGAGTCTCTGCATGCATTTCACCAAGTGGGGCAGCCATATCGACTGACCCATTGGATCACACCTTAAAACACTGCTTCTGTGTAGTCCGAGTTGGGAGTGGCTCTAGTGTTCCAGTGTCTTGGAAGGTGGAAGGTGAGAAACTGAGACCCCTAGAGACCCCTTCAGGGACAATGGGAGTGATCCAGTAACCTAAGGAGGAAGGACAGGTATCTGTAGCCGGAAAGGACTCCTTGGATGTCTTAATAGGAGCCAATCTTCTAATGTCCTGTTTTCTGCATGTGCTGAATCCAGGGATCCAACTGCTGACCTCATCGTTCCCACGTTTGAATGTCGTAGTGGACATTACATTTTGAAAATGTCCTTGTAGTGATGCCTCTGTGGCAGTTGCCAAAAGAGGGCAAATTAGACCGTTCTCTCTAAGTGAAGACTCTAAGATATTTTATTTTTTCAAACTTTTGTTCAAGAATTCCCAGTCATTAAAGGTGTTATCAACAGTCGTAAGCAATGGAGGACAAAGACTGTTGATGAGTGGGGGAGGTGGAGGGGGAATGTGGACAATTTTTTTTTTTAAGATTTATTTGTTTATTATGTATACAGTATTCTTAGTATTCTGCGTGTATGCCTGCAGGTCAGAAGAGGGCACCAGACCTCATTACGGATGGTAGTGAGCCATTATGTGGTTGCTGGGAATTGAACTCAGGACCTCTAGAAGAGCAAGCAGCGCTCTTAACCACTGAGCCATCTCTCCAGCCCCCGGATGTGGACAATTTTTGTTGTTGTTTTTCCGTTCTCTGAATGTGCCCATCTAGATGGCCATAACTTACTTCCAGGTGGTTTACTAGTAGCAAGAGGTTTTCTTTTCTGCTCTGATAGAGTTTTCTCAGCAGTGCTGGGAAACCATTTACACTGTAGTAAATGGTCTTGTTGTGAGTCTCTTATTGTTTAACAGAGCTCTCTGTCCCTGGGGGCACTACCTTGGTAGGAAAGAGAGAAAAGGAGAAAGTGAAGGTGTGCTTTTTTCACGAAGTGCTTCCACAGAAGCCTGAGGCAACACAAGCCGCTGTCCTGGAACTCTGCTGGCCTAGGGTTTGTTGCTCACCTCCATCTCCTTTAGTAGAGCTGTAAGCCTCATCCTAACTTCCCCTCTCCCATGGTCGCTGTGCTCCTTTGTAAATTTTTTTTTTCTTCTGCTGGACCCTGGCTTTGGCTCCACTGACCCTGTCTTTAGTATTTCTTCCTGATTTTGAATGTCTTCCAAGCATTGCTTCTTCTCCTTCAGATGTTCCATAGTATGCTGGTTCCAAACCTGAGTTTCCTTAGTCTACCCCAGCCATCTCCCCACCATTCTTCCCCCAGTAGCTCAACCATTTTCTGTCAAAGCGGTTCGTGCTTACACCTCCATCTTCAGAGCACACAGGTTTAGACAAACGCTTTACAATGCCCCTTATCTCCTTCTAATCTCAAGAACTGCCTGTTGCATCACTTTTCCTGACTCCTTAGGGAAGATCCCCCTGGACAAGCTTGGTCTAGGTGTCGCCTTTCTTTCTCAGTGCCATTGTCCCTTCTGGGAAAATCAGCCTAAAGAGACTCAGGTGACAGGAACCAACATTTCATCTAGAAATCAAGTATGATAGTTGTCCTAATCTTTTTGTAACATGAGGGCTGGCTTGCTGGGGTTTCCATCCCACCCGGTACCCCACAACCGGCAAGTCCCAAAGAAAATTATACACAAGACTCCATAATATTATAAACTGATTGGCCCATTAGGTCAGGCTCCTTATTAGTCCTTGTAACTTATGTTACCCCATTATCCTTATCTACGTTAGCACATGGCTCCATACCTTTCTCAGCTGGGCAAGTTATATGCTGCCTCTTCGGTGGTCTGCGCAGGAGTGGCAGAGGAACCTCCCTGCTTCCCAGAATTCTCCTGTTCTCATTGCATCACCTCTACTTCCTGTCTGGTTTTCCCGCCTATACTGCTTGCCTGGCCAATCAGCGTTTTATTAAAATATGATTGACAGAATACAGACAATTCTCCCGCATCATCTTTTCATTAAAACAAAAAAAACCTTCAAAGTGTGTGTGTGTGTGTGTGTGTGTGTGTGTGTGTGTGTGTGGTGTAGCTCAGAAAAAATTGTTTGGCAATGTATGTTGTTGCGTTTGGACGGTTTCTTTCACCTTGAGGTCTTTCACCAAATCTATAGTTTGAAGTGCAGTGCTTTTTCTGCCCTGATGCTAATCCAGCATTCTGGATTGTTGGTGATGAAGATGGAACTCTGGCATTTCATCTGTGTATCTCATCTGGGCTCCAGTGAGTGGGTATGGGGAGCAGATTGTCTGATTGCCCCTCCCTCACATTTTAGCGGGAGTCTGTGCTGCCATGGAAACAGTGCTGCACCGGAAGAGGGCGCACACAGTACTAGACCATGGATGCTATATTAGAAAGTGCTCGTGTGTGTATAAGTTGGTGTTTCAGAAGTAGGTTTATTACTTTATTCTGAATTAACTAAACTTGTTAGGCAATGCTCGCTGGCCATATTTGTTACAATGCTACACTGTTAGTGATCGTCTTTAAAAGAATCAAGTTCTGCCTTTGGAGATTATCTGTTCTCTGATGCTGTTACTTAGGTCACCTGGGAGTGACACTCAGAGAGCAGTTAGCTCCCCCTCCCCCACATCCTTCCCTCCCTCCCCCTTCCCTCCCTTCTCTCCCTTTTTTTTTCTTTTGAATGAAGCCAATGCCATGATATTTTCAGACTTTCCCTCTCAAGAATGATGAGCGTAACATTTCAGCTGCAACAAGTGGAGTGACCAATCTCAGATGGACTATTCTTGTTTGATGGAATCAATTGACTATAAGTAGAAAGGCGGGTGGGGGGGGGATGTTAAGAATGGAGGGATATGAACAACAAAGCCAAGATAAGAACACCTCATTCCAGAAGTAGAGTTCTGGTTGCAGTTTGGGGAAACAGAATGAGTACTGTAGTTTTTAGAATGGGTAAACCTCATGGTTTAGAGGCTTCTATTTGATACTTTCCAGAGTTAGCTGTTAGGTAACCATTTGTAAACCCCACCTCCTTCCATGGTCAGAACTGTGTCTCCTACCTGATACACCCAAGAAATGGACTGGCAGCTTAGAATGCTTGAAGCTTGCCAACATGTGCATAGAAATAATATTTATGTGAGTGGGAAATAGAAGGAAAAGCCACTGACATGGGAGCACATCCTACTGGAAAAGGCTGTGCTGAAGGCATATAGTGTTGGTGTTGGTTAGAAAGAAACCATAATCAGAACTTTGATTTTCCCAGAGCGAGAGTAGAAAGCAGTTGCAGCGTTTTTAGAGTAACAAGTTCATCTGACTCACCTTTGCCTATGTAACTCTAAAACATTCAATTTTCAAAGATAAAGAAAAGCAATGCTTGTTCAAACTTCTACCAGAATAGCTGTTGTGGATAGCAGTGGTGATGCCGTAGGCAAAGGGGGACCCCAGTGCTTCACACAGATCTTCTGTGGCTTGAGAAGTCTCCTGCCTGCAGAGAGACTTGGCAGTGCAGAACCAGAGAGACTTGATCTTTGCAGTTCCAATGCTAACTGGTCCAGAGGTCAGTTAGCTTTCCTCTTAAGACTCTGTCTGTGACTGAAGGTTGTTTTACTGCCTTTGGAGTGGTAAGGTTAAGTAATTCATTTCATAAAAACATCAGTTTAAATTAATTTATAGGCCCTGAATTCAAGTTTCTTCAGCATTTTGTCTTCATAACCTCTCCTTATCTTGTAAATACCAACAGAAGGACCTGGTGGTTTAGCCAAGCGGAAAACTAAAGCTAAAGGTATTATTTTCTATTTTTCTTAAGCAGCCTCTAGTAAATCAAGTTCATGCTTGATGGTGCATGACGCTTCTCATGGAAATGCAGACACGGTTAATAATGTTGCTTTTCGGTTTGGGCACTCTGAGTTATAAATAACATTTTGAAGACTGAATTGAAGACTTTTGCTTTCTCTAGCTAGCCTGTAATTTTAATTAATTTCCTTTTCATGTTATCAGATCTTCCCAATGGCCTGTAGATGAAGAGTTTATCAACATAGCTGACTCTGTTTGTTGGAATGCGTCTATTAAATTTATATATGCACATCTTAGCTTGCTGCCTAAAACCTTTCATGGTCTGAGATTTTAAAATTACTGTACAATGACGAATCCATCAGCAATTGATTTAATTTCTCTGAAGGCTGTGAGGATGCTGTCCTAAAACATAATAAAAGCTAGTGTGATCTAACACTAAGTTAGGTTTATAACCGAGAGCGCTGAATTGTTGGTGTCGAACTTGCTGTGTTTGATATTCTAATGCATTAAAATCGTTATACCCGTGTACTATTATATGCGGACTAACATTGCATTGTTTCTGCCTGGAGATCTTTACATGTAAGCATTGATGTTCTTTAGGAAGAGGGCATGGAAGACATGCATGATTTTCTTTAAACATCTTTGGACAGTTTTTGTGTTCAAGGGCTTGACATATGTGTAAATTATTTTTGTGTTTAAGTCATTGATATGTAAGGCCTTTGCTATGAGAATTTTAAATTTGCATTTTCAGTTTTAGGATGAGAAAAGTTTAGTTTTTAACATGTATCCCAACAAGATGTTTTCCAGGAAGAAAATAATTTATATCATTTTATTCTCATGGAAGCGATGTTGAACTAAATTGCCAATAAGTTGCAATCTTACCTCCTGATCTGTAAAGACAATTTAAGCATTAAAGATTGAATATAACAAAAATACAGTACAGAATAAGGCCAGAAAGCAGTGTGCAATGCAAGCATTTCAATATTTTGCTTTTCCATCTTCTATTGTTTTATGAAGTGAGATGTATGCTTCAATCTGTAGTTTTACAGGAGTTCAGTAAATTTTTGTTTAATTGGAACTCCACAGACTGTCTAGAGAGGTAATATCTTTTCTGAACACTACACATCCAAAGTACACCTTGTACGGCTTTTGTGTGATATGAATCTTAGACAAATTTGGTTAGGGCAAACGGTCTTTCACGTTTTATTATTTAGATCTATCGTTATATTTGTAACTTCTTACTTGTTGCATTATATAACAAGAACCTTTTTATAATTTTCTGATGAGAGCAGGAATGTGAGGCTTTTGCTAACTGCTCAGTTAAACTTTGAAAAGTCATTTTATGTGAGACTTGGAAGCACCTGCACTTTCTAGTTAATTTCACTTGTTCTCCCTAAATGCCTAGAGGACACGTGCATTGGCCTGTGTGGCTTTCCATATATTAACAGGGAAATGTACTTAAAGAAAGGAATGCTGATCACATGAAGTTAGCTGTAAATATAAAAAAATCAGTTTGCCATTATAAATGTTACGGATAACAAATTTTAAAATTTATATAGGTGGATTTTTTTTTTGCTGCCAAGATTTAAATGATATTTAACTAATTTTTGCACCTTTTTTCCCCTCAAGGCCAATAAACATAACTGTTAAGAATATGACACTTTATTCAAGGTGAAAATTTTAATTATCCTTGTATAAAACAAGTTAAAGTTTGTTTTCATAGCACCTTTGTTCCTTTCCTTATGGCAGCATAGTGAGAAGTTAACTCTTAGCTGCCCTTCTGGCTGGGTTCACTTTGTCAATGTTACATGACAGCCTGTGTTAACACAAGCCAAACCATATTTTTAAGCTGGAAAAATAAGATGAGATATTCTCAGAATTTCTTTCACAGCTAATATTTTATAGAGCTCTACATACCTTTATGGAGGACATTTGACCCATTAGACTAACTTCTGAACGAGAGCACTCCAGTGTAGAGAGGGAGGGACAAGATGGTACTTAATCTCTAAGATGCCCATCTAGGATTTAAGAGGTGTCACCAGTAAACATTTTTTCCTTTGATTGGAAAACCTGAAAGCTAAAGAACTCAGCAAAGAGGACCTTAAGAAGGAGAGAGAGAAGGCTGTGCCTAGCAAGAGTGGAGAGAGAACCAGTGGGAAGAAGAAGGAGGAGGACAAGAAGGGAAAGAAGGCCGACTCAGACACGTCCCGGAAAGCATCTCCTAGAGGTAAGAGAGACAGAGAAGCGGAGAAAGCCAGCCCAGACAGGGGTGCTAAGTCCAGGGAAAGCCTGAAAAAAGGAGCAGAGACGAAGGCTGTTCCTAGTAAAGTGGCTTCCAGAGACAAAGGTGACAAGAAGGGAAGAAACTCTTCCGGGTCTTCTCATGTACCAAAGGAAAGTAACCAGAAGAGAAAGAACTGAAAGAGGAAGAACTGCTGTCACCACCCAATAGTGGGTGACACCCTTCACCACCCAACAGCAGGTGATATCCTTCACCACCCAACAGCGGGTGACACCCTTCACCACCCAACAGCAGGTGATATCCTTCACCACCCAATAGTGGGTGACACCCTTCACCACCCAAAAGTCGGTGACATCCTTCACCACCCAACAGTCGGTGACATCCTTCATTACCCAACAGCGGGTGACACCCTTCATTACCCAACAGCAGGTGACATCCTTCACCACCCAACAGCGGGTGACATCCTTCACCACACAACAGCAGGTGACATCCTTCACCACCCAACAGCAGGTGACATCCTTCACCACCCAACAGCAGGTGACATCCTTTACCACCCAACAGCGAGTCACATTTGTCACCACCGTACAGAGGGTGACTTCCAACAACAGTGATGTTCTTGACTCTACTTTGCTGCTAAAGGGCAGAAAATTTCTGAAATTGCTCTGGCTGGGGAGGATGATACGTATTAGCCACTGAACGTTTTTATTGGTGCTCAATCAGTAAATTCTGTGAAACAAATATACTTTGTCATGCTTCTAAGTTAAAAAATGAAACTTTGCAAGTGTTATAAAATGTAATAACTTCTATTTTTATTGGCCTATTGACTATGTATTCAGATTAAATATGTGTATAATGTGAATTGTAATGGTTTTATTAATACATTAAGTACTCCCATTGGGGTCAGTAAGAAAGAATCTGGAGATCTGAGCAGTATTTCTGCTAGGCAGGGGCTCTGCTCCCTTCCTGCCTGTCTTAGGCTCTCTCCACTCCCAGCTCTCCCAAGGCAGCCCAGGCTTACTGTCCCTGGAGGCCCTCCCCCTCGCTTATTCCCCTTTAGGCTCCTTCCCAGTTCCCTTTCCCTCTATTTCTTCCTTTTTCTGTCAAGGCTCAGTTCTCCCAGCCTTATACTTTGTCTCTTAACTTCCCGTCACCTTAGATGTCCTCAGTTGCCCTCCCATCACCCCTATCTTCCTGTTTTACCCCTTCCTTCCATTACATGAAACAAAACTAAACGAGAAAACCTTGTTCACCTCCATACCAGATACTCCTTTCTGAGTCCTGTGTGTTGTCCAGAATTAAAGACTAGGGGCTGGAGAGATGTCTCAGCGGTTAAGAGCACTGGCTGCCCTATCAGAGGACCAGGGTTCAATTTCCAGCACTCACATGGCAGCTCACAACTGTCTGTAGCTCCAGTTCCCGGAGATCTGACAGCCTCACACAGATATAAAGGTAGGCAAAGCACCAACATGTTTAAATTAAAAAAAAAAAAGAAGAGAGAGTTTTATCAAGGAGAACATTTCCCGATGCATTTGTTATGTGAGCTTCATAGACTCTGGAAATGGTAAATAATCATGATACACACATGAGTGTGTATATATATATATATATATATATATATATATATATATATATTCATTCCATACAAGCACCACAGTGAATCAGAAGCCTTTCAATGATTCAGAGTCTATGAAGAACCACAATTTGTGATCAGAGTTTAGCCCAACATAAACAATTAATAAAGGAAATCTTAATGAGAGAAGCATGTCTACATGGTAAGTGCTGCTTTGTGCATGATACTCAAATCTATCTGTAGATTAAAAATTCTGAGCCAGGCATAGTGCCTCCTGCCTGCAATCTCAACACTAGGGAGATGGATGCAGGAGGAACAGGAGTTTGAGATCATCCTTGGCTACGTAGGGAGACCAGCCTAGGCTATGTTAAGACCCTATCACCAACAAAGAATAATAATAGTAGGCCAAAATGCAAATAGCTTGATAATAGAATAAAAATGCTCTCAGGAAGAGTTTAATTTTAAAATAATTTATTTTTTCATGAAGAACTAAGATACAGACTTATTTGGGGGGGCTTACATTAAAGGTACTAAAACCAGATATGACTAAATGTAAATGTTTGCTGAACAAACATTTCTCTTTTTTTCTTAAAATTCAACAACTTTTGCTACTTATAAACACCTGGACATTAAACTGAGAGATCCCAGCTCACACAGGTGAGCACAGCAGAGTAAACCTAGACGCACACCAGGATCTCTGTTATATTCTAGATGCACAGTGGGATCTCTGTTATATTCTAGACACACTCCGGGATCTCTGTTATATTCTAGATGCACACCAGGATCTCTGTTATATTCTAGATGCACTCTGGGATCTCTGTTATATTCTAGATGCACACCAGGATCTCTGTTATATTCTAGATGCACTCTGGGATCTCTGTTATATTCCAGATGCACACCAGGATCTCTGTTATATTCTTGGGCCAAACACAAAGGCCCAAAGAAATTACAAAATGTGATGACTTGATTCTCGGTGTTGGCAGTAAGGATCTTGTGTCTTTGTTGTTTCTTATTTTGCTTTCATCAAATACCAAACCACGTACACACAAACCCAGGAAGTCCATGGCTCTATTGACTGTCGCTTCAGACTGATGGATTCCCCAGTTTAGATCTGTGATAAGAGATTCTTCCTACCTCGATTTCCAAAATCTTGGCCCTGCTGATTTGCCCCATTTTATTCCGTGTAAGATACGAGCATACGGCACACAAGGAAACTTCACCAGGCCTGAGAGACGTTGTCTTAGTTTTCTGGAGGGTTCTGTAGGAACAGACGTCTTAGTAGACTCTGCTAAACATTTTTTCGTGCAGGAATTTGAGGTGGGAGCATGAATGATTAGCAGAAAGCTTTTTAACATATTCCCCTCACGAAGGAACTTCTGTGACACGTGAGAACTTGCTTGAACAAGAGAAATAAGAAGCCGGGTTACCCATGCATTACGGTTACCGTGTCTTCAAACTATATCCTGATGCTAGATCTTTTTGTTGAGATAAATGATTTAATTAAAGAATTACCTGCAAGAAATTTAATGATGTTTTTGCTACAAGTGATTGCCCCCACTCCTTGCTGGAGAAGGGCAAAGCATTCAATGGAGAAGTTTTATTAATTTTACCTAGGTTTTGGAGTTCAGTGGCAAGGGGGTATAAAGAATGGAAATGCTAGTTCCAGGCAATGAGGGGGTTTTAGGATCATGATCAATAAAAGCAGATGAGCATCGCTTGTACTTGTGGGGGTGAGGGTGGTGCCGTGGGCTGTTGTAGATCTGGAATTAGAAATACTTCTTCCTTTGAACAGCAGCACTCAGGAACTGAAGGCACACACAGCTGTCAGAGGTCACAGGACAAGTGGCTTATAGCAGCACCCAGCAGAAATACGGAAACCTACTAAACACTTTTACTTTGGGGGGAATGTTTGTGAGTTGGAATTTGATTTATTCTCCCTTTCTTTCCTCTGCCAGTCTCATTTCTTTTGAGGATACAAACAGCTGTACTGAGTTTCCTTGCCGTTCCCATCGGTCCAATATATTAGCACCCAGAGCTCAGTTAAAAAGTGTGGCTGAGCCAAAACTCAAGCTAAGCCTTGGTGGTGAGTGCGGCTCTCAGTTCTGTTCCACTCTCAGATTTATTTGCTTATTCTCCTGGTAGTTGCTTTTTATCCTATTGTTAGCTGAGGATAATTAAACTCCCAAGGCTGCCCTAGAAAAAAGCCAGCTAAAAATAATCTATGATTCCACATAGCTGGCAACCGGATGAGTTTTGGGGAAATGCTTGAAAAATCAAAACCAACTATCGATGTTTTTGTCACATCCATAACATTGTACATTTTCTGAGGTAATGCTGTAAATTTTTGAAAAAGGACATTATTGCATTAACTTTATGTTAACCTTGGAGGTCAGTTACATTTGGTGAAGTTATCCTTAAAGATTGCTTTATAAAACAGCTTTCAAGCCTGTCAGTTTTTCTCAGATTTTTTTTTCCCCTCTCGTCTAATGCTCAGATGACATTCTTTCTACGCACAGCAGCATTGGCTCCTTCGCCAGCACGTCGCTTGCTGACTGTTCTCTGTGAATTTCACTAGGGTTAACTTCACCTCTAATGGGTTTCCTTGGTCCCACCCTGCGGCTGACTGTTTTCCATGTCTCATCAGAGAGGAATTGGTGCTAACTCTGCAGAACTCCGTGAATTCTGCAAGTTCACAGAGAACCTGCTATGCTAGAATCTGCTTTCCTCATAGGCTTTTAACCTCAGCCAAAATCCCCTTCAGGTGTTTCCACTGAATGAGTGAAAGGCAATAGACAGGTAGGACTTTGTTAAGTTGACTGTAGTCATTTTCCAGATGCTGGGTGGGTCTCCACTCATCTGTTTCATCCTCTGCTGTGCCCCTTTGGAAACAGTCTCGAAATGGATGGTGTGGATTAATTCACCACAGTATACATGTTGGCAGTGGTCATTTTCCTCACTAGTTGGTAGTGACACTGTCAGAGCAAGTGTGAGATCATGTGTGTGAGCAGCCCATGCTCTTGGCCCCTCTGGTTCCTTTTCTGTAGAACGCTGGTGATGCTGGACCCCTGAAATCTCAGCGGGGGGCTAAAGTGAGAGGCATGGGACAATGTCTCCGGTTCCTACGTCTATCCACCGTCTGTGAGTCAAGCACCACACTTTCAGTTCTTTGTAATGCACACATCTTCATAAAGTGTTCAGCTGGATCCATATTTTCTCCTGAGCTCAAGGGGGCAGGAGAAAATACTGATGAACGCCACCCATGTGGGACCTGAGGATGCTCAACTCTGCCTACGTGCTGTAACCGCAACGAGGCCACAGGATTTGAGTGGGGGAATGGTGACGTGAGTTTAATTACTATTCTAACTGTGTGCATTTGCTATGTTTAACCCTGCCTTCCTTCCCTGTCCCATTGACTCAAGCTTCTAAGCTTGCTCTTCCATTGCCTGATGATTGCAGTGTAGTTCTTGGCCCTGTCCTTCTGGCCTTGAGAAGTCCACTGAGGTCCAGTTGCTGAGTCCTTCCTCTGACATTGCCCTTGGGCCCACATTTCCTCCATCATATCTGCTCACCTCGTAACCTCAGCAGTTTCTGTTTTCTATGTTTCCACTTGTTCCTTCTGGGGGAGAGGTCACACTGTACAGGTTCTCCTGGAGGATCTCACTGCACACGTTCTCCTGGAGGATCTGACTGCACACGTTCTCCTGGAGGATCTCACTGCACATGTTCTCCTGGAGGGCTCTCACTGCACACGTTCTCCTGAGGGGTTCTCACTGCACACGTTCTCCTGGAGGCTCTCACTGCACACATTCTCCTAGAGGGTTCTTTTTTTTTTTTTTCTCCTAGAGGGTTCTTACTGCACAGGTTCTCCTGGAGGGTTCTCACTGCACACATTCTCCTAGAGGGTTCTCACTGCACACGTTCTCCTGGAGGCTCTCACTGCACACGTTCTCCTGGAGGGCTTTTACTGCACACGTTCTCCTGGAGGGCTCTCACTGCACATGTTCTCCTGGAGGGCTCTCACTGCACACGTTCTCCTGGAGGGCTCTCACTGCACACGTTCTCCTGGAGGGCTCTCACTGCACACGTTCTCCTGGAGGGCTCTCACTGCACATGTTCTCCTGGAGGGCTCTCACTGCACACAATTCAGTTGCTATGGAGAGTTCTGTACATTAACAACTGATGGGTATTTGTTTAATGAATTTATGTATGCCGTTTGGTAAGCTTGGAGCTATTACATATTTATGGAGATAAGTGTATTATTTTGTCTTCTTTCTGATCAAGTATGGTTAGGTAGCAGTGAATTAGGTAAAGCAGATTGATAATGGACCCAGGAAGGTTGTGTCCAGTAGTCAAGGGTTCTATGAATGGTTTAAATGCTGGCTTCATTTACTTTTGATGGCTTCTTGCATTTTTAGTAAAATGAGAAAGTTATTAATAAATATAAATTATAAGGTTTCCTAAGTAGTCTAATGAGTCTACAGAACAACAGTCAGGGTGCTGTAAGGAAAGTTTCTTTCTCCGTCCTGTCCACCATTGTTGTAGCCTGGCAACATCAACCTAGACAGCGAAGGTAAGAGTGCAGCAAGTGCACCATCGCCGGGAGCATCCCCCCCAGACCCCACCGCACAGCAGGCTGGGAGCTGGGTTGCTGTCGGAGGCTAAGGTGGGGCTGAGAGCAAGCCAGCTTCTGCTCTACTTGTTAGAGGTGTATCTTTCTCGAGCCTGTGTGAACTGTAGTTTGTTGTATGCAGTCACAGGGACTAAACTGCAGGCACATGAACACATGACATTCCAGACTGTTACATGAACACATGACTTTCCAGACCGTAGCTTTAAATGCTCATTGCAGATTCAAGCCTAACCCTTTGTCATTTGTACTTTGCAGTAAAGAACCCAGCTCTAACAAAAAGAAAGAAGCAAACAAGAATCCTTTCCTTTGACTCAGAGTTGGTCATGTGTTCTTTATGTTTCTGGGTTTGGGAAGCAGAAGATTGAGTCCACAGTGTACAGGGCCAGTGTTTCTCTGTGGCTTGTTAAAGTTTATAGGGGCCCCATGAAGGAGATGTGTAAATATAATCTTTCACTACTTCAGGGTTTATAGCCTATTTGTGCTAGCCCCACATCTGGACATAGCCCTGACCTGCTACAGTAGGATGTCATTTGACTGATGTGACCAGCTACAGTGGGATGTCATTTGACTGACGTGAGCGGCTACAG